TAGTGATATTGAACATCTTTTCATGTGTCTATTGGCCATCTGTATGTCCTCTTTGGAGAAATATCTATTCAGGTCCTCTGCCGATTTAATTGGATTGTTAATTTTTTTGGTGTTAAGTTGCCTAAGTTCTTTATAAATTTTGGATATTAACCCCTTATCAGATATATCAGTCGTTTGTCATTCTGTTTTGTTGCTGGTTTCCTTTGCTGTGCAGAACCTTTTTAGTTTAATGTAGTTCAATTTATCTTTCCTTTTGTTTCCCTTGCCTGAGGCAACATGTCAGAAAAAATATATATTATTAAGAGCAATGTCAGGGAGTTTACTGCCTGTGTTTTCTTCTAGGAATTTAACATTTTAGGGTCTTACATTTAAGTCCTTAATCCATTTTTGAATTTATTTTTGTATATGCTATAAGAAGGTGGTCTACTTTCATTTTCTCAATACCATTTATTGAATAGACCATCTTTACCCTATTGCATATTCTTTCCTCTTTTGTTATAGATTAATTGACCATATAGGTGTAGGTTCATTGCTAGGCTCTCTATTCTGTTCCATTGATCTATATGGTTGTTTTTATGCCAGTACCATGCTGTTTTGATTACTGTAACCTTGTAGTATAGTTTGATATAAAGTATTGTAATACCTTCATCTTCGTCTTTCTTTCTCAACATTGCTGTGGCTATTTGTGGTCTTTTGTGGCTCCATATAAATTTTAAGATTATATGTTCAAGTTCTGTGAAAAATATCATTGGTATTTTGATAGGAATTACATTGAATCTATAGATTGCTTTGGGTAGTACAGACATTTTAATAATGTTATTTCTTCCTATCCATGAACATAGCGTATGCTTCCATTTATTTGTATCTTCTTCAATTTCTTTCTTTAACGTCTTATAATTTTCTGAGTATAAGTCTTACCTCTTTGGTTAAATTTATTCCGAGGTATTTTATTTTTCTGATGCAACTGTAAGTAGGATTGTTTTCTTAATTTCTCTTTCTGATAATTCATTATTAGTGTATAGAAATGCAACCAATTTCTGAATATTAGTTTTGCATCCTGCTACTTTACTGAATTCATTTATTAGTTCTAATAGTTTTTTGGTGGAATCTTTAGAGTTCTCAATATATAGTATTATATCATCTGCAAATACTAAAAGTTTTACTTCTTCCTTTCCAATTTGGATGCTTTTTATTTCTTTTTCTCGTCTGATTGCAATGGCTAAGCTTTCTAATACTATGTTGAATGGAAGTGGTGAAAGTGGACATCCTTGCCTTTTTTTTGATTATATGGAAAACGCTCTTAGCTTTTCATCATTCAGTATATTAGCTGTGGGTTTGTCACATATAGCCTTTATGATGTTGACGTATGTTTCCTCTATTCTCACTTTGCTGAGGGTTTTTATCATAAATGGATCTGGATTTTGTCAAATACTTTTCTGCATCTATTGATATGATCATATAATTTTTATCTTTTATTTTGTTTTTGTTGTGTATCACTTTAATTGATTTGCAAATATTGAACCAAGCTTGCATCTCAGGAATAAATCTTACTTGATCATGGTGCATGATCTATTGAATATATTGCTGAATTCAGTTTACTAATATTTTGTTGAGGATTTTTGCATTGTATTCATCAGGGATATCGAGCTATAATTTTTTTTGTAATGTCTTTGACTTTTTAATCAGGATTATGGTGGCCTTGTAAAATGAGGTTGGGGGCTGTCCATGTTCTTGAATCTTTTGGAATAGTTTGAGAAGGATAGGTATCAACTCTTCTTTGAATGTTTGATAAAACTCACTCATGAAGCCATCTGGTTCAGGACTTTTGTTTGTGGGGAGGTTTTTTATTACTAATTTGATTTCATTAGTAGTAATTGGTCTGTTCGGACTTTTTGTTTCTTCTTGATTTATCACAATTTTACATATTTTTAAAATTAGTATTAGCCTAAACCAGATAGTAAACAACATAAAGTAGCATATTTTGACTGGCGATCATAATTAAAAGAAAAATAAACAGATATAAACCTACATCAAAAATTTATCATCATAAATTAGTTTGTATAACAAAGCAAATGAATCGAGATTAAAAAAAATGAAAATACAAGGACAAGCAATTTGAGTAAGTATGGCCACTGGGTTATGTGTTTAATATATAGAATCATCAATACGATTGCCTTTTTCCAAGACCAAGCAGGCAACATCTTGGGAGAAGGTCACCCGGAGCACTTTTATCATAGCTAGGAGTCAAAAAGAGAAGATGAGTTTGCAAACCCAGGAACCCAAAAGCACACACTGTGGTGGAGAAGAAGCAATGAGCAAAATGATTAAAATCACCAAAGGAAACTTTCCGACCTCATCACACAAATCAAACAACTTTTTTTGCTTTATCTATTGAAGGGAATGTCTGGTACAGAGGCAGTGTTTTAATTTAATCAGTTAAAAGAAACTTTCAGAGACGTTTTAGACCCCATAATTTCAAACTGTGATCCAATCCAAAAACTTGTCCTTGCCCAGAGCACAACTGCTTTCAGACTTACAGTATAGCCAACATTATTACTCTCTCTACATGACCCATTCATGTTGGATAGATAGGCAGTGATAGACCAGCACTCTATATAATGATTTATGCAAATACTTATATAAAATACACAATTAGGTATTCTATAGTTATCAGTTCCTTTAATTGCATTTTTAATAACTCCCTGGTGCCAATTCTTTATCATGTTCGAGGATTGCTTGATTCCTCTAGCAGAAAACACCTGTTTAGAGAAACTTGCTCATTTTTCATAATTAATCTTCATCAAAAAGCCTGCTGGATAGTCTAGTGTTAAAGGAGATTATTTTTGATAAACACACAAAATAGATCTAAAGACATAAAAGAAACAGACTGGCTTTCAGGCAACAGTTAGCCAACTTTTAAAACCTTAAAGGAGAAAACATCTTTAATATCAAAATACTCTAACCAAAAAATGTATCATCTGTCTACATCACCAGATAATTAGGTCGATAAGAGGGAAAAATCACTACTTTTGTTATAGAATTCTGCTGGGACATAGACATATAGGTCTGCATTATCTAAGGAAAAAAAATCAAAAAATGTTAGATCATCTTTGTGAGTCCTTGTTCACACCTAAGTTTTTCACACCATGTGTGTCCATAAGAATAACATAAGACAGAGCATGGGGGGTCGGACTGAGACAGAGGAACCTCCCTCATGCTCCAATGCTGCCCTGGATGCACTTACTCTCAGTCATTCCACAGGGAGTGGAGCAAGGACGCAGTTATGGGCTCTGGCTGAGAAAGCCAGTTGACAGTGTAAAAGCTGATACTGTTCACAAAGCCTAATGCTCTAAAAATGTTACTCTTTGCTTCCCAGCAGTACTGTATCTTTCTTGTGAAAAAAATCTCTCTTAAAAGGTTTCTCATATGCCTAACTCGTAACTACTTATAACCCTGAAAATGTTTTCATGTTGGACTTTAGTTGAGCATGGTTGGATATATAATAAAAATAAAATTTGCTTTCCTTACACAAATACTATAAAACAGCTACTATAAATAGTGTTTTACATTAATAATATATTACATTTAGAAAGCAGATGATATGATATATTTCCAGCTGCATGCTTAAAATATTCATGCACAGGGGGCAGCAGGGGGAAACATAGGGCATATACCAAACTGTTTATAGCGTTATTCTAGGAAGAAAAATTATGGGTATACTTCTCTCCTTTGTTTTTCTTTTCTACATTTTTGTGTTTGATAATAAACATGTATTATTTGGGGGAAAAGAAAGTGTTTTAAGATTGGCTCCCAAAAGCTTTGACGATTGAAAAACTTGAGATCTATTGAGTCCGTATGTTAAAAGTCTAGATCACACTGCCTAACATAGCAGTCATAGTCTCAAGTGGATATTTTAAATGAATTAAAAGCAAATTAATTTATTAATGATTTAAATCTTCACATTAGCCACATTTCAAGTTTTAATAGCCACATTTTCATCATCACAGAAGGTTGTATTTGACAGTCTTCGTGAAGATAAGTTACCAAACTATGCCCTGGAAACTAAAAACAAAAGTGGCCCACTTTTAGTGGCATAGGAACGAACATATGCCCTTCATTGTAGATGCTGAAAGACTCCTCCATACCAGTTCTTTTATATACTTTTCTAATCTGTAGCCCAATAAGCTCAGAGATTTGTTCTATAGCCATTCAACTAGTAACAGAGCAAAGACAAAAACCCAGGGCTATCAACTCCTAATTCATAGCTCTTGTCTCCATATCGCTATTACCATCTTCTGCAAATAACTAAAACTTCCCAAGCAATACTTTAGTTCACTGTGATTTCATAGACATTTTTTTGAGAGCTTACAGTGCAACAGGCACCATAATAACCCTTGAATAAACCAAGTAAGAGAAGTTGCCCTACCCCTGAGGGTGTCAAAGTGTAACAACAGAGGAATGCAAAGTAGAATGACAGCACAAAGTAGAGACAAGGCCTGTTTTTCTCAAGAAGTCCAGAAATGCTTCGCACACATAGATATGTTTCAATTGAGTCTACATTTGTGCATCCAAATTCACAAATTATCACTTCTTCTCCAATACTGTCAATTTTCCCCACACTCCAGAAGAGATTAGACTCCATTTTTGAAATGCAGTTGATCCCTGATCTAACATTGTTTTTTTGGGGGGGTTTTTTGGTTTTTTTTTTTTTTAGTTCTTGTGCAATAGTTAGATATGTTTAACTCTTTTACTCTCTTAATTTGAACTAATTTTCTTATTTTCAGGCCTTATTTTATACATGTAATAATTTCAAATCTTCAAATGAAATAAAATACTTCTTTAAGATTTAACCTTCCTTTCCAGTTTAGACTATATAAAAGCAAACACAAATTTTGAATGAATGGTTATTTTTTAGCCAGTTGTGTTGGAAATGTTTAAACACAGGTTAAGAACCTGGAGCTCTCGCTTCTCAAGTAAATCATGCTCCTGTGTTTTAACAGATGCAATGCTCTTGGTGGCAGAGCGACTGGAAGGACCATTCAACATTGAGTTGGTCATGGACCCTATAGATGTCAAGATATCTGAAGCCATTATGAACATGCAAGAAAACAGCATGCAGGTGTCTGCAAAGGTATTTGCATTAGTCATATGTCTACTAATAAGGAAAGTATAGTAATCTAAAAATGGAGTAACCAGATATGTCGGCTGGGATTATAAATTCTAATACGTTGTCAGTGGGCTTTTCCTGTCAAGCTACAAATTTGCTACTTCATTAAAAATGTCTAACAAAATGGCATTGAGAAAGGAAGCAATCTTTTCATTCACAACTACTCAATCATGAAGAAATTATTGGCTGCTAAAAAGTTTCAGAGAGCCCCAAGTATATTGACTAATCCCTCACATTTGTGAGCAATTTGGGGGAAATTTTCCTTTTAATGTTTGAAGTTTCTACACACCCTTACCCTGTTCTCTCTCGAGGAACTTCTAATTATATCTTCAGCTGTGCAAACCAGGCAAGTGTTCTATATGTTCAATTGTAAATAATTAAACATTCCATCTGACTTCCTTTTTTAAGACTACAGTGTAACCTTCATTAATGTATCTTCAGGGGAAAATGCTCCCTTGTATAAAGTCAAGCACACATTAAAAAAAAAGTAGTAGTACATTTTCATAAATCATATGAGACAGAGCTTCTGGGTTTGCAGCTGCAGAACACAAATACCAGGTGCACAATTTTTATTTGTCCCCACCTATTTGAAGATAAACAGTACCGCCTTAAGCAAAATTGAGAAGTTTGCAATGGTTCCCCAGCCTTTTCCTTCATTACCCCCTTTTACCCACATCGACAACTTCATAATGTCCTTCTGTTTTTTTTTTTTTTTTTTTTAACCAGTCTCCCTATCATGAAACACTAACCAAATCTTTATCAGTCTTTTAAACCTGGTGACTAAGTGATTAAATTTTAATGAAACATTAAATGACACAAAAATATGTCAGGCAAGGAGTTGCACACTTAGCTTTCTTTGATCTTTAAAATTCTTTGTGAAAGAGACTTTAAATACAATCAGGGAGGAGAGGATGGGTGGTGCAGAGAAATTACAGAGCAGAAAGAAGCCATAGAATCTAACTAGGATGGGAATTCATACTATATCTTCTTGGCTGAGTATGAATCAACTAGATTTGGGCTTTATAGGGTGAATTGGTAGCAAGTAAGATAAGAAGGAATGTGGCCTGGGTCCTTTTCTCACTTTGCTTGGGAAATAGATGGACTGAGATTTTCACAGGCCTAGTTCCGGGCTTTAATGAGCTTGGGATACCCCGTGTAAAAAGGATGTTCCAAATTGCTGTCACCTGTTAGGGAAATAGCACGTTTGGGGATTCTGTGAAAATCTATTTTCTTTCTTTCCTGTGAAAAACTAGCATTCATCTATTCCTCTCAAATCTATTGCCTAGAAACAAAGTAATGTTTTTTTGAGAGACTAACATCCCAGCAATGCTTGAGTGACCAGGCGCTAAGGTTACTGGTGTTCAAAAGCTCTAGAGAATCGGACATGGAAAACATGTGGATGAAACTGTCTATGGCTTGAGAGCATCCCGCACTTCTTAGAAGCAAAAGTTTTCATTGGTGTGCGAGCATATGTGTTCAAGTCAAATTATTCTATTAAAAATTCTCTAAGAGGTCAGATAGACTTCTTTTATTACCAGAATATGGATGAGACATTTTTGTGGCATTTGTCTAACTATATTACAACAGTATGGCTGTTCACAAGTACTGTACTTTTAAAAGACACATTTCTTTGTAAGAAATGTCAAAATCAAGAGTAGAAATAATACGCGACATGTAAGAGTACACTCCCATGAGAGGATACGGTATGGACGGGCATAAAATAGTGGTACAAAAAATGTCAAATGAGTTAGAAACATTTTTTATAAAGTGTGTCTGGTAGTCTTGACACAGAGAAAAGGGAAGGGAGTGAGTTACAGAATCGGGGAGAAAGGAGGGCAATTAGGGCCTGCGGGAAAGAGGGCCAGGACAGGAAGCAAAGTCTGATGGGGAAGAGGGTATGGAGGAAGGACCGAAAGCAGACTTTAATACAGTGGAGAAGTAAAAAGTGGTTGGAATTTGGACACATTCAGCTGGAAACAACAACAGGATTTGCTGATGAAATGGGTATGTTCCAGAAGACGTTTTATTTCATCAAGAGAATAGAATTTGAAAATATGTAGTTTTATTTTCTCTATAAGCCACATGCATGAAATTATGCATTCACTAACATCTAAAATCTACATTATAGCTAAGAACTGGATGGTTGAATTTTTCCTTTTTCAAAGGAACCCTAAGTCACTGTTGATAAACAGTCTCATCAAATGTGAAGTTCTGAATTTCCAGACTTCTGTTGGAGTATTTGTATAACCAGAGACTTCGTTAACTACTGATAGGCAAGCTTCTGGTGAGGTCAGAAACTATTTCTTAATTGGAGGCCAGACATCCTGAGAGTTATAAACCTTACAAGTTAAAATGACTTTTTACTCCAGGATATTACTGGCAACTTCTCCTTGGAAAATCATTTACTTTATTACAGCAGTCATTCCAGAGCTTCTTTCAGAAAAGCAACAATATTTATAACTGTAGGCCATTTGTTGAGCGCTTACTGCCAGGGACTGTACTGTGCTTTATACGGTTTATTTTTTGTAACATAGCAATGCTTGCGATGAGATAGATCTCCCTTATTTTCCAGGTGAGAAATCAAAGCTTAGAATAGTTAAGGAATTTATAAAGGTCTCATGGTGCTTGAGAAGTAAGTATATAGAGAAGTGTCTGACTGCAGAACCACATTGCTAGTCACTGCATGAAAATGATGTGGGTGCCTGCAAAGCCAATCTCACACAAGGGTAGGGTTCAGTAAATATTTGCTGAATAGACCAAGTATTAAGAGAAAGTGCAATAGTTTTCAGCAAAACTTACATGAGAAGATAAGGAAACAGGTGGTAAAGCCAGCAGGACTTGAATTGTCTGTTTTTCTATCTGATTTCCTTTAAAGTATGCCTAGAACTTCCCACCATTCTAAATGCGAATGAAATAATTCTCTTATCTAGATCATCATTCATTGCTTCTAATCTTCCCTAGAGATTGTAATAGTACAAAATATAACAGTCTACTTTTTTCTTTCTTCTTCTATCTGGAGGCAAAAGATGAACACACCATAGTTTCAGATAAGAACTCTCCCTTCTCTAACGCAGTGGTTCTCACTATATCTATAGTAGGGAACAGCTAGCTAATCTTTTGTACTTCATCACTGAAATCATGAATTAGTGATATTTACAGACCAATGAGAAGATTCATCCCACCATGTATGTTCATACCCAATCTTGTCTTAGATCTGTTTTTATAAGTATTGTCAGATCCTTTTCCTCTCTGATTTAGCCCACGGGTAAGCTGTTAGGAGTAAGCACACTGACATTCCTTTAAAAAAATACATTGGCCAACCAATATTTATAATGAAATTATATTATTGTGGTAATATATTATGGCACTCTTTTCAGATTCTTGATTTGTATATCTTTTGTACAATATGATATGACATGATATATATGTATATTTTTAAAGACTGAGGACATAGCATATTAAAACTTTTATTGGTTCTTTTACACAAATAATCACCTAGTAACAATGATAATTATCATGGCTACTGTTAATTGAGCCCCTACTGCATTTATTCAACAAATACACTGCCACGTACCAGACATGAAGAATACAGTAGAGGAAAAACAAATTCTCTGCTCTCGTGTCATTCTTTTTCTAGATGCCTTATATATCTATTTCAAATCTTCACTGCAATAATATAAAGTATTCATTTCCTTTGTAAGTAAAAAAATGTTAAATTTATTGGTAAAGAATGTTAAATTTAGAGAGATGAAGTAGCTTGTTTGAGGTGTTCCAACTAACAAGTGGCTGGGCTGGGATCACAGCCCAGAGCTGTCTGATCCAAAGAAAAAGATCTTCCAGTATATGCCACTGTTTCCTCAGTAAGCGTCTTCCCACCAGGACCAGATACTCATCAGCACTGGATGGCTGTTGCCTGAAACATACTACAGGGAACCTACTAATAAGAAACATAAGCTGTTAGCTCTTCAAGCTCCAACCAAGCTTATTACATTCACCAACTTCACAATCTTCATCAAAGACAGGAAAACACTCTCATTATTCCACCACTTCTGTTACCCACCCAAATCAAAGAACTTTGCAGGTTTTTGGAAATTCCCCCATGGGAAGAGAGAACAAAAGTTTCTGAGTCTCTGCCTTTGAATTTTAGATGTGTTGATAATTCCTTCTTATCCTATCAGGGAAGATGAAACTGATCTCACTCAATATAATTTAACTATATTAGGAGCAATTTCAAACCTAATCCAGGAAAAAATTGGTTTGTCAGATATAATCTAAATTAAGAAGGAAGACGTATTATATTCCAATTGAAACCATCCATTCAATTAATACTTATTATAGATGAGAGTAGAACCCATTACAGAAGAGCAGGATGGCCTTCAGGTATTTAATTTTCTTCAGACAATTCTTTCTGAATCTACATATCAAATATAGATGAAAAAGCCTAAGAGAATGGAAAAAGAATGTAATAGTTTCTGCCTATAACTAGTCTTAGTTTCCTCATCTGGAGAATGAGGGGTTGATTGAAATGTGTCCTTTTCAGCTCTAACAGTTTATAATTTTACTAATATTATCTCTTCACTAATAATTAGGTTTCTTTTCCTAGCATCCAAATATTTTTCTTTTCTCTGGATCTTTAGGTATGAATAATATCTTGGGAATTCACATGGAGAAAATATCTTCTTTCCACTATGAAGACAACATTTATAATTTAGTTTAAATAAATATATGTTTATTCAGAGAAGATAGTGTTTATCTTCCCTGTCTTTGAGCCTCAGTATTACATTTGCCCTTCTTAAGGCAGTAAACATTTTAATCCTTGTAGCATGATTACTTTTGTACTTACCTCCTTCTTCCAGGGATTATAAATTATGAGAAGACAGGAACTATATCTTACTCAGTCTTAGATTATACAGAGAACCATCTAAACATGTCATTTTACACATGGAAGAAACATTTTATTTTGC